GCTTAGGTTACAGAGTGAGATCCTGTGTCAAAATAACAGAAGCAGATCATCCTTAGTTAGCTGGACATGATGATGCACACTTAAAATCCTATCACTCAGGAGGCTTGATAGGGCTGCAGCCTGAGCTACATAATGAGTTCCAAGCCAGCTGAGCTGATAGAAAATGTCTTTGTAACTGTCTAGGGGACTACCCCCAGGCCATGAAGCACTATACAGAAGCCATTAAACGGAACCCAAGAGATGCCAAACTGTACAGTAACCGAGCTGCCTGCTACACCAAGCTCCTGGAATTTCAACTGGCGCTCAAGGTGAGGCCTGGGGAGTTCTGCTGGGGTGGAGGGGTTACTTGCAGTGAGACCAGGAGTTACTGTAAGGCTTTGCAGGGGGCCAGACCTCTCCTTTCTGTCCTCTCCTTAGCAGGTTAACGTTCTTACTAAGATTCTAGGTTGACAGTAGGTGGTGCTTATGGAAAATTGGAGGCCTGTGTCTGCCAGACTCCAGCCCTTAAAAATCAGTGGTTGAGCTGGGTGGTGGTGGCACATGCCTTTAATTCCAGCATTTGGGAGGCAGAGGTAAGCGGATCTCTTGTTCAAGGCCAGTCTGGTCTATAGAGCTAGTTCCAGGACAGCCGGGCTATATAGAGGAACCCTGTCTCTCAAAAAAAAAAAAAAAAAAAAATCAGTGGTTGAGCTACATAAGCTTCTGTGGCTCCTCTGCCTTCCCTGAATCCCCTGGTGCTTTTTCCTCCCCAGTCTTCCTTAATGTTTCTTTCTTCCTTTCCTCTCTTTCCCTGCTTTTTTTTTTTTTTCTGTAATGCGTGTGAGTGTTTTACCTCACAAAGATATATGTGTGTGTGTGTGTGTGTGTGTGTACCAGACATGTGCCTGGTATCCTCAGAGGTCAGAAGAGGGGATTGGATCCCCCTAGAATAGGAAGTATGGACAGCTCCAAGTTACCAGGTGGGTGCTGAAAACTAACTCAGGTCCTTGAAGAGTAGCAACTACTTTTCCATCTCTCCAGCCCCCTTTTTTATTTTTTATTTATTTATTTGTTTGTTTGTTTTTCGAGACAGGGTTTCTCTGCATAATAGTCCTGGCTCTCCTGGAATTCACTTTGTAAACCAGGCTGGCCTTGAACTCAGTGAGATCTGCCTTCCAAGTACTGGGATTAAAGGCATGTGCCACTACCACCCTGCTGTTTTTCTTAATATTCTCTTTTTTTAGTTCATGCTGACTTTAAAATCACATTCGTGTCCTCAGCCTCTTGAGTGCTAAGTTTATACCAGTAGCTACCATACCTTGTAGCAAGCTTTGTTGTTAGCCACCAGCTCACAAATAATAATACAGAGACTTCTTGTTGATTATGAAAACTCAGCCGTGTCCCACTAGCTCTAATAACTTAAAATAACCCATTTATATTAATCCACGTTTTGCCTCACGGCTTTTTACCTTTTTTTTTTTTTTTTTTTTTTTTTTAAGATTTATTTTTTTTATTATGTATACAGTGTTCTGCCTGCATGTCAGAAGAGGGCACCAGATCTCATTACAGATGGTTGTGAGCCACCATGTGGTTGCTGGGAATTGAACTCAGGACCTCTGGAAGAGCAGGCAGTGCTCTTAACCTCTGAGCCATCTCTCCAGCCCGGCTTTTTACCTTTCTTTGCTTCTGTATGTCCAACTCCCTCCATCTCTTGTTGGCATCTGATGCACGCCTAGATTCATCTCCTCCGTTCTCTCTGCCCGGAAGTCCTGCCTATACCTCCTGCCTAGCTGTTGGCTGTTGAGCTCTGTATTACACCAATCCCAGCGATACATCTTCACACGGTGTATACACATCCCACAACAAGAACTGGCCTGTCTGTGAATGCTTGTGCTTGAAGGCCAGTGACAACCTCACAGTTTTTCCTCAGGAGCTGTAGGCAGGGTGTGTCACTGAGATTGGCTGCTGCCGTTGAGCTCCAGCAGTCTGCTTGTCTGCTCCCAGCACTGAGATTCCAAGTGTTCATTGCTAAGGAAAGTGAATGCAGTTCTTCATCCTTGCCATGCCTAACTCGCCAGCTCATCAGCTCCTGAGCTGTTTTTGTTTTATGAAAGGGTCTCACTAGAATAAGCCCAGGCTGACTTCTAATTTGAAGTCCTCCTGCCTTGCCTCTCAACTTAGAGTTTTGTTTTTGATACCACTATCTTTGGGGAATCTCCTGAAAGTGACATCACTCTAGTTAGGGTTGCAAGGGTGCTGTCAAAACCTGAGTGGCTTGTGAGACAGTGGCAGCCCTAGGAGGTTTTGAGATAGTCTCATGAACTCTGGCTGGTCTGGAACTCACCAAGATGATTTATTTCAGTTTCTGCTTGTCCAAAGTATGTAAGGCTTTTTGAACATAAGTCTGAAGGCAGCGAGTGTCATTTGTGTGTTTGCTCTCAAACAGAAGTGTCCTACCCATTGGTATTGCCATAGCACAGCCTTGAGTCCAGTGCTCAGCATTGGGATGGTGACCTGGAGCTTGCTTTCCTAGTCCTCTCACCCAGCTTTCTCCTTTCTTGTTTAACTTGCTCTCTAGGAACCCAGGGGTCTGGATTTGGCAGGAGCAGCAGAGTCAAAGCCAAGACCTCTGACTCCTTAGAGCACAGTAGCTGGCTACTGAGCACCCTGGAGGGAAAAGAGCCTAATTACTTTTCTTCCTTCCTAGGACTGTGAGGAGTGCATCCAGCTGGAGCCAACCTTCAGTAAGTGCCTTTCATTTTTCTCCTGTGCCCTGATTGCCCCCAGAGATTGTTAAGGTTAAGGCTTTTGGGCGTGTAGCAGAAGTGGGGGAGCCCACAGCCTGGAGCTATTAAATTAGTACCTCTCTCCTGTTTGTAGTCAAGGGTTACACACGGAAAGCAGCTGCCCTGGAAGCCATGAAGGACTATACAAAAGCCATGGATGTGTACCAGAAGGCGCTAGACCTGGACTCGAGCTGTAAGGTAGGCTGCTGCTGGCCTGCAAGGCTCATCCCGCCTGTTTCTCCACTGGGTGTTTTCTGTGATCCTTCATGTACTCCCTCCCACATGCTTCGGTGTCTTTATCTCTCTTCCTTTCCCTTTGTCAGAGAGCTGTTACTTTGGACCTGCTGAAGGAGTGGGCCAGGTAGTGTTGTTGACTCCTGCCTCTCTGTGTTTTCTGGAATGTAGGAGGCAGCAGATGGTTACCAGCGCTGTATGATGGCACAGTACAACAGACATGACAGCCCTGAGGATGTGAAGCGGCGGGCCATGGCTGACCCTGAGGTGCAGCAGATTATGAGTGACCCAGCCATGAGGCTCATCCTGGAGCAGATGCAGAAGGACCCCCAGGCTCTGAGCGAGTAAGTCCAGTGGGAGTGCTGGGGAAGTGAGAGGGATGTGTCCAGATAGAATTTTGTCTATCTTTAAAGATACATTATTTAGGTTATGTGTATAAGCGTTTTGCCTTTATGTATGTGTGTATGTATACCACATGTATGCCTGGTGCTTGAAAAGGTCAGAAGAGGGTCAGACCTCCCTTAGAACTAGATGATAGAGGGTTGTGAGCTACTGTGTGGGTGCTGGGAGCCAAACCAAAGTCTACAAGAGCAGTAAGTGTCCTGGGCCATCTCTTCATCAATAATCCATCCCTTGAACCCTGAATTGTGTCAATCTTAACTGAAAAAGTTGGCAGTGCAGAGGCTCTCTTTCCTGTTTGTCTGACAGCCTAAGGTTCTGTTGGGAAGGCCGTTCTTGCTAGGCTTACCGGTGTGCAGGCACACAGTAGCACAGGCAGGCTCTCCTGGCACTGGGTCATTAATTTGAGCTTGCTCTGAGAGCCAGAGATCTTGGGTGGAGGGAAATAGCAGCTAAGAAAGAACAAGCTTCAGATAACTCTATCTTTTCTCCATAGACACTTAAAGAACCCTGTAATAGCACAGAAGATCCAGAAACTGATGGATGTGGGTCTGATCGCAATTCGGTGATAACTTGCTTTTCCCCTCTTCCCTTCGCCAATGTGGAAAGGCGAGCTGGGACGGTGGCGAGCAGCACTGGGCAGAGGGAGGGGAAAGAAAGGCTTATCTTTATATTTATACATGCCTGCAAGGAAGACAGACTCATCCAGCGCCACCTCGGGCCCTCTCAGCACACGCATGGTCTCTTCACTGCTGCCCTTGAATGTCTTTCCCTGCCCTCCCCAAACCCCCCGTCACTGTCTCGGCTGCTCCCTTATAGTTGGTTATTTTTTATTTGGGGCAGTGGGTGCATACGGGGAGGGGAGGATATTCTTCCCAACCTGGGGTCCCAGCTGTCTTCACTTGTTGTTACCCCATGTCCTTCAATAAAACAAGCCAGTCAGGCGTGGTTATATGTTGCTGTGGTCTCCAGTGACTTTTTCTTCCCTAAAGTTGCTCTGGGTTGGGACCCTGGCTTTCCTCTTCCTGGTGGCTGAAAAATGAGTTGTGTTTTGGCCGGGTGGTGGTGGCGCACGCCTTTAATCCCAGCACTTGGGAGGCTGAGGCAGGTGGTTCTCTGTGAGTTCGAGGCCAGCCTGGTCTCCAAAGCGAGTTCCAGGAAAGGCGCAAAGCTACACAGAGAAACCCTGTCTTGGAAAAAAAAAAAAGAGTTGTGTTTTGTTGGGATGGCCACTAGGTGGAAGTGTTGCTCAACAGCTGAAGACCTGCAAGTTGATCAGCTTTGAGTGGGTGCTCATGCTGTTCTTTGCAGTACAGTCTCAGTAAACCAAATAGGTGCAGAGAATGCTAGACCCGACCCAGAGCCACAGTGGATCAGGAAGCAGACCTGAGAACAGTGCTGCCAACAGCTCCTGCTGCCTAGCCCGAAGAGAGCCTGGTTGTAAGCCCTACTCCAGTCTCTTCCTCCCACACTGTGGCCAACACTGAACTTCCTCATTTGCTACCAGAAGGCTGCTTTCTGGGCTCACGAGATGCTGAGGCCAGCATCAGGCTGTACTTCCTCTCCTGTGTTTGCATAAACTGGCTTCCTGTCCCACCCCCAGTCCCTGAGACTCCCCAGGGCAATCTTACCTCCACAAGGGTCTGCTGCCACTGAGGTCATTAACCCTGGACAGGCTGGGTTCCTGCTCAGCTAGCACTGAGGGCCTTGCACTTGGAGCATTTTGCATCCCAGTGCCAGAGGAGAGCATGAGACTGAGGTCACCAGAGCCCTCTAAAGGGACAGTTAGATAAGGGGTCCTGAAGGGGATCCCATGGAGGTTTCCTGAGGTAGAGGCTTTGACTGGGGTGGAAACCCTGACTTGTCGCTGTCCACTTGGGCAGGTTGAAGGCTGGTTGGTTGGAACAAATCCTATTTTGGGGTAGGAAAGATTGAAAAGGCTTCTCCGCTGGCCATAGGCAGTCCTACTCAGTAGGCTGGGGCTGCAGCCAGTGGAAGCCAGGGAGATGGGGTGGGGAGAGCTCTGGGGTGTCACCCTACCTCTGCTCTTCCCTCACTTCCTGTGGTGACAAAAGCAAGGGTGCTGTGGAGCCTTTACGTGCTGGCAGTGTGCTTCCTGTACCCAGCAGCAGCCCGCCCTGGGGAGGGACTAGCACAACTTTGGTGATAAGGCTGCCACGGGCTGACCTCTGAAGGAAGCAACTGAGCAGCATAAGGCAACCCCAGGCCAGGGGTGACAGGTGCTCCACCGCCAGCTACCTGCAGCGGCAATCCCTTGCAGTCTAGGTAAGTGCAAGACCCGGGAGGACTCATTTGTCTCCTGCCCTGCTAGTCTGCTCGCAGCCACACTTTCTACCACCCCAGAGGCTTGTGTGGGCTAGAGTGCTGCCTGAGAGCTGTGGGCCAGGACTTGTTTGTTCTGTGGGATAGGTAGGCTTGGCGGATCTGTGAGGAGAGTAGGCCTGCTCTGGTGTCCAGCAGGGTGCTCTTGAAGGAGTCTTTTTTTTTGTTTTTTCCCTTGAGGCCGGGTTTCTCTGTATAACAGCTCTGACTGTCCTAAAACTCACTTGTTGAGTTCAAGGCTGGCCTTGAACTCAAAGAAATCTGCCTGCCTCTGCCTCCCGAGTGCTGGGATTAAAGATGTTTACCACCACCGCGGGACTTGAGTGAGTCTGTTGGGCCTTGGTGTTCTCACCTGAGACCTGAGTTGGCTGGAGAGTTCTAAGGAACTGTCCCTTCAGCCCAAACACCTATGACATTAGAGGGTCTCAGATTGGCTTGATTACAGAAGCTGTCTGTGTCAGTGCCCCCAGGCCTACCCACCTACCAGATCCCAGCGTCTGCTCACCTTGCCTCAGCAGAAGCAGCCACAGCCATGGCGGGCATGAAGACAGCCTCTGGGGACTATATCGACTCGTCCTGGGAGCTGCGGGTGTTTGTGGGCGAGGAGGACCCGGAGGCCCAATCTGTCACCCTCCGAGTCACGGGGGAGTCGCACATTGGTGGGGTGCTTCTGAAGATCGTGGAGGAGATCAGTGAGTCCCCGTGACCCCCATGTCCCCAGTTTGGCACACAGGCAGTCATGACCGCTATCCCTGGCACTTCTGGGCCATCCCTGCCCTGCCATTGATAACCTTGTCACAATGACTCAGGCAACAGCTTTATTGTTTGGTTCCAAAGAAGATATTTCTTAACATCCTCTCACTTCCTCCCACTCCTGCTGGTTCTGTCCAGTCTTCAAGGGACATACAGAACATGGTCCCTGTACACCTTGCCTGTGCTGAGGCCTCAGTCATGTTCCTGAGGTCTGAAGGATGCCTAGGAGGTTTCTGGAGTCTGTGGAGTCTACTCCCCTACACTTCCTCCCCAGCAAGCCACTTGGCAGGCTGGTAACAGTGGTGGAAGGCCCTGCCCCCACAGGAAGTTATGGTAGAGTAGGCTGGTGCGATATCAGTCACCCAGAGTCACCCAGAAGGCCCCATGGGGGCTTCTCATCAACCTTCTTAGTGGAGAATGAGAGCTATCACTTCCTGGGAGGATGGCAGGAAAGTCTCTGATAACCAGAGCCGGAAAGCATCCCACCATGAGCTCCTGATAGCTCCTGAGCCAGAAGGCATTGCACTGTGAGCTTGGGTCCTAGGCCTCTGGGGTAGGGAGAGGGATGGGAGGCAGGTTTTCTAGACCCAACCAGTCCCTGTGTGCAGTCCAAGACAGGGACCAGAGTGACTGGGTCGGACAAGCCGCAGCACAGCCAAGTAACAGGGCTAAGGCAGGGAAGGGAACTGCCAGAGGCAGGGCCCAAAGAGCCTGTGAAAGCAGAAGTTGGGGAGCAGAGGGGTGGTCCTTCAGAAACCAGATGTCAGAGTTGGAGACTTGACCTGGGCCAAGGCAGAATAGAAGGGCTTGAGAAGGTGGTGGGTCCCAGGGCACAGCAGGTGAGCCCCAGCCAGCTAGACCTTACCAGGAACCCCTGCTGGGCTCCTCAGGCCAAATCATGTCAGTTCCAGGACCTCAGTCCCCAGCAATAGGAGCATTATCCCCACCCCTCCCACTGCCAGTCCGTGGTGAGACCAACCTTCCTAAATGCTGGTGCCAGATGGTGAGAGCTTCCTTGGACCTGACACCAGGAAGGGCGGTGATTTCAGAGAGGTCTCTAGAATGGGGAAGACCTAGAACTGATGCCAGGGACTCAAGGAAGCTCTGAGTTAAGGCCTCGGAATAGTAAAGACACCTGGTTTGGGACAAAACAGGAAGCCCAGGTGGTGCCCTGACAGCCCGGGAAGGCCCTTTGGCCTCCTGAGGAACTAGGTACTTGCCTTGGAAACAGGGCATGGCCATGTTAAGGTGGCCCCACATTAAGGGGCACCTTTGCAGGGCCCCTTGTCAGCAGGGAGACAGATTGCAGCCGGGGAGACCCAAGCAGGCCATGCATTCGTCTGTGGGGTCGGGGGTGGGGGATTTACGAGGGCTCAAGAGGCCGGACGGGGAGGGCAGAAAAGGTGGGTTTAGAAGTGAAACTGACATTAACTCAGGATTGGACTAGAAGTAAAAAGCATGGTGCTGAAGTGTTGGGTGTTGGCAAGAGTCCTTGGTGGTTGGATGACCTGGGAAGGAAGGGCTCCTCTGTCCAGCCACAGCAGGCTTCAGCTTAACCCTTGGAAGGCTGGGGCTAGTCTCCCTGCACTCAGCATTCCAGCACTGGCTATGGAGCCAGGTGATCAGGAGTCTGGGATGAAGGAAGCAATGAAAATGCCCCTTAGAATAGAGGCCATGCCATGCAGATCCCAGCAGAAGCTAGGAAGCAGTTGAAGTCATAGAACAGGAGAGATACCCAACTCCCAGGAGAGGGTATGACTGAAGAGAGGGAGAGGTTCCAGGCTAAACCCCGGGAAAAGACAGGTGAGCAGTAGGTGGGGAGAGCCTCCTGAAGAGTACAAAGCCACAGCAAAGGCTGCTGGGTATGGAGGCAGTCCCAGCCCTAGTGAGTGAATCGACAGCCTACATAAGCAAAACCCTGCTTCAAGTTTAAATGCAAAAGGCCAACGGGAGAGGAAGTGGGGGCAGAGCGAGGGCCTCAGGATGGGGGCTCAGAGTCCTGAGGAGCTGGGCGGAGAAGCTTCCCCAGTGTTTGGCAGCACTGGTGACAGTGGGGAGACAGGTCAGGAGCTGGCAGGAGTCCAGGATGGGGACAGGGATCAAAACCCAGTGGGAGGACCAGAGAGAGAGGCCTAGCGTCTTAGCAGGTAGAGCGCTTGCCCAGCAGGCACAAAGCCCTGGGTGTGACCCTCAGCGCTGCATCAACAAGGCATATACCTTCAATCCTAGCATTTGGCCATTGAAGGCAGGAGGGTGAGTGGACCAGGGTTGGCCTCAGCTATGCAGTTGAAAACCCTGTCTGGAAACCCCCAAATAACAACATACCGGGTCTCAGCAAAACCCAGGAGGCTGTGTGCTCAGCAGCTTTTGCCCCATTTATTTCTGTATTCACACTTCTTGGGGGGGAGGAGGATAAGGCATCCTCCTGTGTCATCCATTGTTGTCACCCCAATTCCTGGTCAGATGACAAGTGACATTCACATTTCCAAATGAGCACTTCTCTTTAAGTGTCAAAATTGCACAACACTTTGTAATGTCGCAGCCATTGGTCAGCAGCCATGAGTCAGGATGATTGTTACATCTTAACTAGAGAACTGAAGCTGGAGAGGTGAAACACGGTGAGCAAGGTCGCACAGCTAGTGATGGAGATTATCAACAGCCCTAAAGGGCCCACAGCTAGTGATGGAGATTATCAACAGCCCTGAAGGGCCCACAGCTAGTGATGGAGATTATCAACAGCCCTGAAGACCTGCAGATGTTGCCGGTGGTGGGTGTGGTGGTGCACGCCCTTAATCCCAGCACTCAGGAGGCAGAGGCATGCAGATCTCTAAGTCAGCCTGGTCTACAGAGTGAGTTCCAAGACAGTCAAGGCTACACAGAGAAACCCTGTCTCAAAAAAACAAAAGAAAAAACAGCAACAACAAAAAAATAGAAAAGGCATTGAACCAAGCATCCCAGAATACACATGGGCTGTAAGGAGTCAACTCAATAAAGTATGAGGTGAGGTCATTGAGATTGAGGCACCCATATTCCTGGTTGGGGGGCTCCCCTTGGAAGTGATGTAACAACTGAACCCAGAAGGGCCAGCAGGAGTCAGCCATCAACCGTTCCACTATCACTTTGGAGCCAACCCAATCTGGCAATCTGGCTCACCTGTGGCATCAGTGCTGGGCAAAGAAGGCGGCGGCTGGGCAGGGCCTTCGAAGGCCAATGGGTACCCCTGGGTCCTCACAGATCGCAAGCAGGACTGGTCTGACCACGCCATCTGGTGGGAGCAGAAAAGACAGTGGCTGCTACAGACACACTGGACACTGGACAAGTATGGGATCCTGGCAGATGCCCGCCTCTTCTTTGGGCCACAGCACCGACCTGTCATCCTGCGACTACCTAACCGTCGTGTGCTGCGTCTGCGTGCCAGCTTCTCCAAGCCCCTCTTCCAGGCTGTGGCTGCCATCTGCCGCCTCCTCAGTGAGTAGCTGTGGCCTCTTCCCCTTCCCGGGCCAAGCCACATAAGCTTGTTCTTGCCATAGCCTCTCCGCAGCCTATCAAAGGGCGTGACTTCCCGGGGTGTCTGTGTGGAAAGGCAGGGAGGTGACCCAGCAGACCCTTGGTGCTGAGGCCTTACTCCCTTCAGGTATCAGGCACCCTGAGGAGCTGTCCCTGCTTCGAGCTCCAGAAAAGAAGGAGAAGAAGAAGAAGGAGAAGGAGCCTGAGGAAGAGGTGCATGACCTGACCAAGGTTGTCCTAGCTGGGGGTGAGTGAGCATGGCCAGCCCGGGCTGGGGCCAGGACAGAGGCTGGCCTGGGAGGCCAGAACTGGGGCCGGGCCTGATTGACTCCCACGACACTGCAGGTGTGGCACCTACCTTATTCCGAGGCATGCCAGCACACTTCTCGGACAGTCCCCAGACTGAGGCTTGTTACCACATGCTGAGCCGGCCACAGCCGCCACCTGATCCCCTCTTGCTCCAGCGCCTGCCGAGGCCCAGCTCCCTGTCTGACAAGACCCAGCTCCACAGCAGGTGCGTGACCCACAGCCAGGCCACCCTGCCCAGGGCCTAGCTCACCTACCCTCTGCTTCCTGCTTTCAGGCCCTTCCTCTCTCTGTGCTCTGACTCTGCCTCTGTCATACCCAGGTGGCTGGATTCATCACGGTGCCTCATGCAGCAAGGTGTCAAGGCCGGGGACGTGCTTTGGTTGCGGTTTAAGTACTACAGCTTCTTCGACCTGGATCCCAAGGTGAGCTGCGTCCTGGAATAAGAGGGTCCAGCTCTGGGAAGTCAGCCACTGTAGGGGTCAGTTTGTACCTCTGTGTGCCGATCCAGTGCACTGCAGGGCCTCCAATGATAAGGCAGATGGAGACAAGTCTCAATGCTGGTTTCTTTAGGACCTGCCTGCTGGGGGGGGGGGCGGGGGTCATGGCAGAGACCCATGTAGACAGTGGTGGGTTCTGGGGAATGTGGGTCTCTAGTGGGGAGGTTCTGAGCTGGGCACAGGGAGGCCACTTGGACCAGCAGGGCCTGGGAGGTGGGGTAGGAGCTTTGCAGGGTGGCCTCAGTGTGCCCCATTCTTAGCCCTCCAATGCCTGATTTCTCCTCTGCAACAATGTCGTCTAACCCTCTGTCTCCACAAACTGCCCAGGGCCCCACAGGCTCCTCTTCCTACCTGTGGCCCTTCATTAAAAACATACAAATGGAGCCGGGCGGTGGTGGCGCACGCCTTTAATCCCAGCACTCGGGAGGCAGAGGCAGGCGGATCTCTGTGAGTTCGAGGCCAGCCTGGGCTACCAAGTGAGTTCCAGGAAAAGGCGCAAAGCTACACAGAGAAACCCTGTCTCGAAAAACCAAAAAAAAAAAAAAAAAAAAAAAAAAAAAAAAAAAAAAAAACATACAAATGGTGGTCTATAGAGCACTTGGTTTCAAGCTGTGGCAGAGTCCCTCAACATTCTCTTCTGAGCCAAACTGCCCTGGTGCCTTCTACCCACTACACACAGAAGGACACCTGCTGCCCTCCGTGCAGCCGGTCCCATGGTTCCATCCTACCTACATACTTTGTTTTTTGGTTTCTTGAGACAGGGTTTCTCCGTGTAGTTTTGGTGACTGTCCTGGATCTCACTGTAGACTAGGCTGGCCTCGAACTCACAGAGATCCACCTGGCTCTGCCTCCCCAGTGCTGGGATTAAAGGCGTGCACCGCCCGGCTTCTTTTTTTAAAAATAAGGATTAGACTTAGTTCCCCCCCCCCCAATGCTAGACAAACGCTCAACTACTGAGTGCTCCCCCAGGCCCTCCCGGACTAGTTTAATGCTATTTTGTGTATGGGTGTTTTCTCTGCCTGGATGTCTGTACAGTGTGTGTGCCTGGCATCAATAGAGACCAGAAGAGGGTGTCAGATCCCCTGGAACTGGAGCTACAGAGAGTTGTGAGCCACCCTGTGGGTGCTGGAAACTGAACCTGGGTGCTCTGGAAGAGCAGTCAGTAATCTTAACCACTGAGCTGTCTCTCCAGCCCTGAACTTTTATTATTTATTTATTTTTAATTCGAGGTAGGGTCTTGCGAAGTTATCTAAGTTGTGGAACCTGGCCTTGAATCTGTAGCCCAGGCAGGCCTTGAATTTTCAGTCTTCCTGCCTCAGCACCTCCGGTGACCAGGATCACGGGTCTGCATCTTACTTGCTCACTATGGCATGGACATAGCCAACGCCTCTTCCTCTGGAATCATCTTTCTCTCACAGCTTCCCATGAGCTAAGGGGGTGTGTCTCTCCTTGTAGCTGTACCCAGGCTCTGTGGCTTCTATTTCTTCTCTTCCTCAGCTGCCCCATGTGTGCACCTGAGGTCAGAGGTCATCCATGTGTGCCCCTGAGGTCAGAGGTCATTGTCAGGTGTCTTCTGTCGCTGTCTCTCACAGAACCTGGAACTCACTGATTCAGCTAGCCTGGCTAGCTAGCAAAGCCCAAGGTTCTGCCTGTCTCTGCCTGAGTGGGGGATTAGAGGCTGTTTCCATGGGTGCTGGGGATACGAACTCGGGTCCTTTGCTTGCACAACTAGTCTACAACTGAGCCATCTCCTCCCAGCCCCTTCTTTTTGAAACCATATTTACCTATTTTGTGTGTGTGTGTGTGTGTGTGTGTGTGTGTGTGTGTGTGAAAGAGAGAGAGAGAGAGAGACAGAGAGAGACAGAGACAGAGAGAGTGTGTGTGTTCCTGTGTGCCACAGTGTATGTGTGGAGATCGGGAGGTCAGAGGACAACTTGCAGAAGTTGGTTCTCTCCTTCCACCGTGTGAATCCCAGGGTTCAAACTCAGGTGGTCAGGTTTGGCAGCAAGTGCCTTCACCCACTGAGATATCTTGCTGCTCTTTTTAAAAAACTGAATTTTAGCCAGACAGTGGTGGCACACGCCTTTAATCCCAGCACTCAGGAAGCAGAGGCAGGTGGATCTTTGTGAGTTCGAGGCCAGGCCTGGTTGAGGTCGAGTTCCAGGACAGCCAAGGCTACACAGAGAAACCCTGTCTCAAAAAGTAAAACACAAAACAAAAACAAATTGCATTTTATTAACTCATTTATATGACTAGTAAATCTTTACAGAGTACACTGTAGTAATTCAGTACATGTAATAAAATGCATAAATTCAAACCAGGGGACTAGGTGTCCTAAGTAGTTAAGATTTATTTTTACTTTATGTCTTGCTGTTTTGCCTGCATATGTGCCTGTCACCATGTATGTGCTTGGCGCACACAGAGTCCAGAGACAGGCACTGGAACTGGAGTTAGAGATGGTTGTGAGCTGCATGTGGGTCTCGCCAGCCCCACGTGTCTTAGATTGTTTTACGCAGTCGTTACTCTGCTACTGGGAAGAACAGAAATAGTTCCTTCTCTCTGGGTTTTGGTTTCTGCTTTCTTTAGAAAGGAATATATTTTTAAATTTTTTATTATTTACATATTTTAAATTTACTTATTTGTGTGTGTTTGTGTGCACAAAAGCGCGCATGTGCATGAGGGCTAGTGTGCACACGCCCGATACAAGCATGCGGAAGTCACCAGACAACCTCTGGGAGTCAGTTCTCACCTTCCACCTTGCTGAAGCCAGGTCTCCTGCTGTTTCTGTTTACAGCTGGAGACTGTGGACTCCAGGCTTGCTGGTCCTCAGGCTTCCAGGCCGTTCTCTTGTCTAGTCTTCCATCTGCCTATAGGACATTACAGAATGGGTCACCACAGACAGCTTTTCCACGTGGGCTCTGGGTATCCGACCTGGGGCACCAGGCTTGTGTGGCTACACTTTTAACCAGTAAGCCATTTCCTAAACCCATATTTATGTGTCACTTTGGCTGGGAAGTAGTGATGGCGCACGCCTTTAATCCCAGCACTTGGGAGGCAGAGACAAGCAGATCTCTGTGAGTTTGAGACCAGCCTGGTTTACAGAGTGAGTTCAAGTTACACAGAGAAACCCTGTCTCAAAAAACCCGAAAAAAGAAAAGAGTGTCACTTTGTAGCTTGGGGGCGACTCTGCTGTCTGAGTGCTCAGACTAGGGTTATTGTAAAATAGTTCTTCGTTTCTCTTGGTTTTGTCCCTAAGCTGAGGCAAAATACCCTGACAAAAGCTACTCAGAAAAGGAGCAGTTTAGGGGCTGGAGAGATGGCTCAGTGGTTACGAGCACTGACTGTCCTTCCAGAGGTCCTGAGTTCAATTCCCAGCAACCACATAATGGGTCACAACCATCTGTAAAGAGATCTGGCGCAGTTCACAGCTCAAGTACAGTGCATCCAGACAGGGGAGTCAAGGCAGGCTGGAAGCAGCTGGTCACATGACACCCACGGGAAGAGGAGAGCCTGCCTGCTGATGCTCAATTCCCTTTCTCTATTTATAAAATCTAGGCTCTCTGGGCGGTGGCTCACTCCTTTAAAACCAGCACTTGGGAGGCAGAGCCAGGTGGATCTCTGTGAGTTTGAGGACAGCCTGGTCTACAGAGCGAGTTCCAGGACAGGCTCCAAAGCTACACAGAGAAACCCTGTCTCGAAAAGCCAAAAAAAAAAAATAGGCTCTCCTGCCCAGGGCGTGGCTCCCTACCCTGACATGAGTGGGTCTCCGCACATCACTGAACATAAAATAATCCCTACACACATGCCCAGAGGTGCTTCTAGGACAGTCAGTTTGACAACACTGACCTGTCACAGTATTAGACAATCTTGTTTCCAGGCCTGAGGATGTAGCCCAGAGGCGGAGTACCTGTCTAGCCTGTGCAAGACCCTGGGGTAATCCACAGTCTTGCAAACAGATAAAATGTAAAAATCCTTACTTGGGGATGGAGATGAGGTCCTGGGAAACCAGCCGGACCCCTCCTAGTCCACTATTAACCTCAGTAAGGCCCAGCTACAGCTGCAATCCCCAGTGCAGACTAGTCTCACCCCAGCTTCCTCCCACCCTCCTGGGGGCGCTGTCTGCTGTCTGCTCTTTCTACGCCTTCCCACCTCTGCTAGCCTCCAGCTCCATCTACTACTGCCTCGAAGTGACTTGGATGCTCCTGATTCTCCCTCACACCTGCCCTGCTGGGAGAGCAGGCCGGCTGGCTCTGTGCAGTTTGCCCACCCCACCTCACCCCACCTCACCCCGCCCCCACCCCGCCCCCGCCCCCGGCACTGGACTACAGTTACTCCATTCCCACACTTCTTGGCACTGGCAGCAAGACCATTCTCTACCCTACTCTATTCTCCAGGAAAGGTAGATTTGGACAATGTAGGTTTGGGGTCTATTTTTGGTTTTTCCAAGACAGGGTTTCTCTGCAGCTTTGGAGCCTGTCCTACAGCTCACACTGTAGACCAGGCTAGCCTCGAACTCATAGAAATCTGCTTGTCTCTGCCTCCTGAGTGCTGGGTGGGATTAAAGGCGTGCACCACCACTCCGTGGCAAACAATGTAGGTTTTTATTTAATGTTTACTTTCTTTTTTATTTGTTTGTTTTATTTGTATTTCACATACATTGATGTTTTGCCTGCGTGTATGTTTATGTGGGGGATGTTGGGTCACCTGGAGAGTCTCACTTTGTTACTCAGGCTAGTCTTGAACTTAGGCCAAAGCCAAGTGTCCTGGCTGGGACTTCTGTGTGTGCTCCTGAGCCCAGAGCCCTGTTCTGTGACCTAGCGGTTTGTACACAGCTGTAGGCTGTCAGAAGATGAAGACTTTGCTCTCCTGCCTCCCCCATCTCCCCTCCCACACAGCACACACATTTCCGTGAGTCCTACTAATCTACTGGTGTTTATGGTGTTTGGTGAAAACAACGTAGCCATGACTCCAAACAGTAACACATAAACAGTGATCTTAGCTGAACCCAGAATAGCTGTGTTCATATTTCCTTTCATGGTCAGGTCTTTGGAGCTGATAGGTGACATATATGGTGTCATGGGTTGAACCCAGGGCCCGCAGGGCTGGGCTCCTCCACCCCTGAGCTCTACCTACCCAAAGTTGACTGTCCATCATGATAAGAGGGGCTGCAAAGGACTGCCTGGGCATTCCGCACACACTGTGACTTGTACAGGGCCACTTAACCCAGCCCCTCCACACAGTACCCAACACAGTACTACCACTTTCAGAGCAGGTGAGTAAAACCAGGCCTGGTGGTGTAATCCCAGGAACTTGGGAGGCTGAAGCAGGAAGGTGGACAGTTCAGGCCTACCCTCACTGCATGGTGAATTCGAGGTCAGCTTGGGCAACACACACACACACACACACACACACACACACACACACACATACACACACACACACACACGTAGGCAGAAGTTTCCCATCCTGACTGCCTAGTCCCAAATAACCACTCTGAGGCTTATATTAATTGTAAATGCTCAGTCAATAGCTCAGGCTTGCTATTACCTAACTCTTATATTGAAATTAACCCATATTTCTTGTCTATGTTTTGCCATGTGGCTCAAGGCTTGTTACCTCATTTTTCTTTCTTTTTTTTATTTTTTGTTTTTTGTTTGTTTTTTTCAAGACAGGGTTTCTTCTCTGTTTAGCTTTGGAGCCTGTCCTGAAACTTGCTCTGTAGACCAGGCTGGCCTTGAACTCACAGAGATCCACCTGCCTCTGCCTTCTGAGTGCTGGGAATAAAGGCATACACCACCACCAAAGGGGTTACCTCGTTTTCTATACGTCCTGCTTCCTTGGCATCTGGCTGGCTGGCGTCTCCTCTGACTCCACCCTTCCTCATCCCATCATTCTCAGTTTGGCTTTCCCGCCTAACTTTATCCTGTTCAGCTATTGGCCAGTCAGCTTGTTTATTAAACCAATCATAGTGACATATATTCACACAGTGTACAGAAGGATTGTTCCACAGTGCACACACACACATATCTTAGTAGGGTCAAACTATTTTTTTCAATATTCGGGGAAATGGGGGCTGAAGAGGCATCAAGAAGGCTAGGTTGAGAGTTCCAGGTCCTGGCCTGTAAGAGCTCCCTTGCTTAATTATGTCCCCTGTGCTTAAATCTACCTCTAGGTAACTAGTATTTCCTACCCAGTGCACAGATACACATTCTCTCTCTCTCTCTCTCTCTCTCTCTCTCTCTCTCTCTCTCTCTCTCTCTCTCTCTCGTGTGTGTGTGTGTGTGTGTGTGTGTGTGTGTGTGTGTGTGTAAGACAGAGAGAGAGAGAGAGAGAGAGGGGGGGTCTCACTTTGTTAGTTCTAGCTAGTCTGTAACTTATATAGACTACACTAACTTTGAACTCACAGAAATCCTCCTGCCTCTGCCTCCTGAGTTTGAGTGCTAGGATTAAAGGAGTATAGCACCACGTGGTATGACAAGCATTTAATCCCAGCACTTGGGAGGCAGAGACAGGAGGATCTCTGTGAGTTCCAGGCCAGCCTGGTCTACACAGTGAGTTCCAGGCCAGCCAGGGCTATGTAGAGAGAACTTGTCTCAAAAATAACAACAAAAAGATATGGTTTCACTTTGTATTTGTATTCTGGGCTGTTCTAGAATTTACTATGTAAAGCTCAGACTTGTCTGAAACTTGTGATAATCCTCTTGCCTCAACCTCCCAAATTGTGAGATTACAGGGATGAGCCGCCACACCCAACTAGATCTAATCCCCCACCACAATAGTATCAGTCTTTGGTTGGTTGAATCAGGATTTGGAGCCCACAGATCTGAGGCTGAATGTGCATTTTGGGACACTGGGTGCACAGATTTCAGAGGCGGAAGAGGTGGGACTCGAGCATGTAGGGTCACCTCGAGTAGGACCTCCCCATTAGCAGTAAGTGACAGTTACAGCGGCTCCAACCTCCGCAGCACTTGGCACTTGCTACTTAACATAATGAGACCACTATGCCAGAAGACTGTCCCCAGCATCACTGAGATGTAACTTACATGCTCAAGCACCGCCTGTCCTGAGCAGTTTATTTTTGGTCATTGTGTGTGGTTGTACAACCACTGCCACACCCAGTTTTTCATTTATTTAATTGTTTATTTGCATGTATATCTGTGTGAGGATGTCCGAAGCCCTAGAACTGGAGTTATAGACAGGTGTGAGCTGCCATGTGGGTGCTGGGAATTGAACCCGGGTCCTCTGGAAGAGCAGCCAGTGCTTTTAACCACTGAGCCATCTCTCCAGCCCCACACCATATCCAGTTTTAAAACATTGTTAGCCAGGCGGTGGTGGCACACACCTTTAATCCCAGCACTCGGGAGGTAGAGCCAGGCAGATCTTTGTGAGTTTGAGGCCAGCCTGGTCTATAGAGTGAGATCCAGGACAGGCACCAAAACTACACAGAGAAACCCTGTCTTGAAAAACCAAAAAAAAAAAAAAAAAAAAAAACAAAAAACTGAAAAACAAAGAAAGAAACCATTGTTGCTGTTCCAGAAAATTCTCTAGTGCCCATTTTTAGTTTTTTGCCCCCAACACTCACCCCAAACAACCAGCAGGCCAACTTTTCCTGTGTCCTTGTCCCACCTTCCCCAGTGACTAGTAGATCTAGCTGGCCTTTAGCTGCTCGCTGCTTGGATAGCCTCTCCAGTGCCAATTCTGCTCATGTTTTTGGCAGTTCCTGTACTGAGCTGTATCTGTACTGAGTATCTGTCCGAGGGATAGCTCCTGAATCGACTTCTCCACTCTAGGCTTTGCCTTTGATTCTTTCTCTCAGTGGTTTGATTAACCATTCTGTTCTGCCATTGTATCTTTGTCACTTGTGTGACAGTCTTATGCTCCCCAGGTTGACCTCAGTCACAGGCAGTCTTGAACTCCTGACCCTCCTGCTTCCCTCCAAAGTGCTGGATTGTGAGCAATCACCACTACGCTCAGTCTCATGTAGCACTGCGGATCGAACCCGGTGCTTTGCTCATTCGAGGCTGCCCCTCCTCTCTTTGCCTTCTTGATGCCCTTGCTCTCAGCCCTGTGGGAGCCCATGGTGTCTGGGAGGCCCTCCCTGCTCCTTGACCCTAGACTTCTTTCACTCATTCTTCCCTTCAGTGGTCCATTGTCACCCTGCAGGCCTCTGCCCTGCAGGTCACTTCCTCAGGGAAGCCTTCCTGGAGTGCTTGCCTGTGGCCTGTACTCCCCTGAGAGATGAGTTGAAGGAGCTACCCCAGGGGAAGCTGTCTGTCTTTCTTTCTTTCTTCCTTCCTTCCTTCCTTCCTTCCTTTTTCTTTTTTCTTTCTTTTTTCTTTTTTTTTGGTTTGGTTTTTCGAGACAGGGTTTCTCTGTGTAGCTTTGCACCTTTCCTGGAACTCACTCTGTAGACCAGGCTGGCCTCGAACTCACAGAGATCCGCCTGGCTCTGCCTCCCGAGTGCTGGGATTAAAGGCGTGCGCCACCACCGCCCGGCTAGCTGTCTTTTTTCTATTCTGGGAGCTCTTCATTCAGGGGCTGTCTTCCTCCTCTCTTACCTACCCTCAGCAGGAAGCTGGCCTGTGGCCTGTGGCCTGTGGCCTGTGGCCTGTGGCACGGTAGAGCAGAAGTGTATGAAGAAAGCTGCACTGTCTGCCTAGGCAGGGGGCAGGCCAGCAGGGTAGAGATGGGGTCTGCTGCTCATGTTGGGCCGAGCCTGAGAATCCACGACAGGCGCCTTCTGACTAGCTCCCCTGACCCCCTGCTGCTCCAGACAGACCCAGTACGACTTACCCAGCTGTATGAGCAAGCCCGCTGGGACTTGCTGACAGAGGAAATCGACTGCACCGAGGAGGAGATGATGGTGTTCGCTGCCTTGCAGGTGCCTGGGGCTCTGGGGGTGCTGGGGTACAAGGTCAAAAGGCCTTCCAGAACAGAGTCCATCTCCAAAGAAGTCCAGAGTGGGGGCTGTGTGGGGCAGATGGACCTCAGACTCAGCTCTAACTGACTATGTGTCCCCTAGTATCACATCAACAAATTGTCCCTGAGTGGGGATGTGGGTGAGCCAGCCTCTGGGGACCTGGGGTTGGATGACCTGGATGCAGCCCTGAACAACCTGGAGGTGAAGCTGAAGGGGTCGGCACCCTCAGACATGCTGGTGAGGAAGAAGGACTTGGGCCTGGGAATGAATGGGGTTGGAGTCAGGGCCAGGCAGGGCACCCAAGGTTCCCTCTACTTCTCTCTTCCTCCAGGATAGTCTCACCACCATCCCAGAACTCAAGGACCACCTCCGAATCTTCAGGTTAGGCGTAGGGCCTGCTTGGAGGGGCGGGGGGGGGGGGGGGGGGGGGGGGGGGGGGGAGGCAGGGAGGCCGTGGTTCACAAGCTTCCTACCCTCCAGGCCCCGGAAGTTGACCCTGAAGGGCTACCGCCAGCACTGGGTGGTATTCAAGGACACCACACTGTCCTACTACAAAAGTCAGGATGAAGCACCAGGGGACCCTATCCAGCAGCTGACCCTCAAGGGTGAGGGAGCGCCAGTAGTGACTGCTCTCAGCCTGTTGCTGCCCTGAGGCAGCGGCGGGTGGGTGGGTGGGCAGAGTTCCATACAGGGACCTCTTCGCCACCTCCTTCTTGCAGGCTGCGAGGTGGTCCCTGATGTCAATGTCTCTGGCCAGAAGTTCTGCATCAAGCTCCTGGTGCCCTCACCAGAGGGCATGAGTGAGATCTACCTGCGCTGCCAGGATGTGAGCTGGCTGGGCCGAAGGGGCAACGGGAGTGGCCGGGCCCCGGGGGCAGGGTTGGAACGGCATTCAGGGTGAGAGTGAACGTGGCCAGGTCTCACTCACCACGCTCTCCGTCCTTGCTCCAGGACCAGCAGTACGCACAGTGGATGGCTGCCTGCCGCCTGGCCTCCAAGGGTCGAACGATGGCGGACAGCAGCTATGCCAGCGAGGTGCAGGCCATTCTGGCCTTCCTTAGCCTGCAGCGGGCAGGTGGTGGCAGCGGAAGCTCAGGGAACCACATCCAGGGCCCTGAAGCCTCTGCTGAGGGCCTTAACCCCTATGGCCTTGTGGCTCCCCGTTTCCAGCGAAAGTTCAAGGCCAAGCAGGTGCCAGAGGAAGTGTGGGGGTGGGAACCACCACGGTGTTTAGCTAGCCACCCTTGAAGACCCCTGGACCTCCAACCCTTTTCCTTAGAAAACCCTGTGCTCACTTCCTCCTTCGGCCCTGTCCCAGACGCCTCTCTGGAAGGGCTCCAGGTCTATTCTAGGGCCTGATTCAGCCACATGTGCACCTTGGTACCACAATGGCTGCCTTCCCCTCAGTGTCCTGTGCCCCCAGCAGGGCAGGCGGGTGGGGTGGGGGTGGCAGGGATCTTAGGGACTTTAGATAAGGGGAGGCCCTAAGAGGCCCTTACCAATATGGAACCACAGCTTACCCCGCGGATCCTGGAAGCTCACCAGAATGTGGCCCAGCTCTCGCTGGTCGAAGCCCAGCTGCGTTTCATCCAGGCCTGGCAGTCCTTGCCTGACTTTGGCATCTCCTATGTGATGGTCAGGTATGATGCCAGCCCTGCAAAGCCCTGTCTCTGCCCTCACTTGCTGCCAGCTGCTGTATGTGCACATCCCAGATGGGTCCCAGGCACACAACCCAGTGCCTCTCCTCCTGGGTTCTCTGTGGGTACCGCTCCCTGGGGGTTCTGTGTGTTCCCCAGTGAGACAGAGCTCACCTCACGCCAGGCAAACGGAAGACCCAGTGCTTTTCCCAGCTCTGTCATAGATGCTCCCCTCTCTGGGCCTTGGCCAGCTGTCCCTGTGTTATAGGGAGGACCCTGAGAACTCAGTTCCCAAGTCTGCAGAGAAATGAATGACATGTGGTTGATGATGATACATACAACATCATTACTTAGAGGCGTGAACTATTTGCCTAACGTTGGCAAATGCTGTTAGGATGGCCCACCTTGTATGCATTTGTTGATGTAGGGTAACTCAAGTGTTGTTCCTCAGGGGCTGCCCATCTTGTTTTTATTTTTTACTTTCTTTCTTTTTTTTTTTTTTTTTTTTGAGAGGGGGTTAATTTTTCAAGACAAGGTTTCTCTGTGTAGTCCTGGAACTCGCTCTGTAAACCAGGCTGGCCTTGAACTCAGAGATCCACTTTCCTCTGCTCCCTGAGTATTTTACATTTCTTTAGGGGGAAGGAGGGTTCGAGACAGGGTTTCTTTCTTTTTTTTTTTCCTTTTTAATTTTTGTTCATTGGTGTTTTGCCATGTACTGTGTGAGGGTGTCCATTCTCTGGAACTTAGAATTACAGACAGTTGTGAACTGCCATGTGGGTGCTGGGATTTGAACCTGGATCCTCTGGAAGAGCAGTCAGTGCTCTTAACCTCTGAGCCATCTCTCCAGCCCCAAGTATTTTACATTTTTTAAGATTTATTTTGCCGGCCAGTGGTGGTGCACACCTTTAATCCCAGCACTCAGGAGGCAGAGGCAGGTGGATCTCTGTGAGTTCCAGGCCAGCCTGGTCTCCAGAGCCAGTTCCAGGACATCCAGGGCTACACAGAGAAACCCTGCCTCAAAAAACTGAAAAAGAAAAAAGATTTAGTTTTTCATGTATGAGTTTTTTGCCTGCATATGTACATATATACTGCATATAGTGCCCAGTGCCCACAGAGGCCAGAAGAGGCACCAGATCCCCTGGAACTGGAGTTAAGAGCCCCCGTTGAGGGTACTGGGAACCAAACCTGGGTCTTCTGTAAGCACTGTAAGTGTTCATAACAGCTGAGCCATCTCTCTAGCCCCTCTATCTTACATTTTCAACTTATTTATTTTGTGCATGTGCACATGTGGAGACCAGAGAACAATTTACAGGAACCTGGTTCTCTCCTTCCGCCACGTGGGTCCTGGGGATAAACTCCGGCCGTCAGACTTGAGGGTGGCTGAACCCTCTTGCTGGTCCTATCTTAATGTTTTTATTTTAAATCTCTGTGTGTGTGTGTGTGTGTGTGTGTGTGTGTGTGTGTGCGCATGCTGTGGCAGTTATGTGGGAGTCAGAAGATAGCCTCTAGGTCAATCTTTACCTTCCACCTTGAGACAAGAGTTCTTACTCATCACTGTGTGTTCCAGGTTAGCTGGCTGCAGACTGTCCAGAGATTCTCCCGTCTCTGCCTCCCAACTTGCCATAGGCACATTGCAGACGTATTAGATTTACAAGGGTTCTGTGTTCTCACACGTGTGGCAAGAGCTTTTTGCACTGAGCAATCTCTCCCAGCCTGTCTATCTTGTCCCAGGGACCACGAGCATGCACTACAGTCCTGGGGAATCAACCTCAGGTCTTCATGCTTGCAAGGCAGGTACTCTATCGAATGAAGCATCTTCTCAGTCCCCGCCACCCGCCCCTTGGTTTTTGAGACAGAGTTTCATTCACCATGTATCAAGTCTGATGTGAATTCCCGTCTCAGCCCCTTCGCTGGGATGACAGACATGCTGCACCATGCCTGGCTAGCATCAGTCCATGAATAATCCCATTTTTCAGAGTGGGAGCTTAAGGCTAGGAGAAACTGATTGGCTGCCTCAGGCTGAACAGCCGCAGAGCTGCAGAGCTGGGGCAGGTGAGGCTGTGCTCTACTCTGAGGGCTCTGGAGCAGTGTCCACACAGGGTAGGCTCCAGGGCCACACATGGTGTAGCTCTCACTCATATTTCCCCCGCTGGGAATTAGGTTCAAGGGCAGCAGGAAAGATGAGATCCTGGGCATTGCCAACAACCGACTGATCCGCATTGACCTGGCCGTGGGCGATGTGGTCAAGACCTGGCGCTTCAGCAACATGCGTCAGTGGAACGTCAACTGGGACATACGACAGGTGGGTCCCGAGGGAGGGCAGGGACAGGGACAGGTGGCCAGCTCAGACCCAACCAGGGCAAGGCAGAAGCTCCTGCTTGTTGCCTGAGCCCACTGGACCTGTGACCACCCGCCTGCAGGTGGCCATTGAATTTGATGAGCACATCAATGTGGCCTTCAGCTGTGTGTCTGCCAGCTGCCGCATCGTACATGAGTACATCGGGGGCTACATTTTCCTGTCCACTCGAGAGCGGGCTCGTGGGGAGGAGCTCGACGAGGATCTGTTCCTGCAGCTTACAGGTGGCCACGAGGCCTTCTGAGGGCAGCCAGGCTGCCCTTGCTCCACTCACCACCTCCAGGGACCCTCGCAAGCCCACATCTACCTGAACTCACTGCTCCACCACTCCCAGCATGCACCAGGCTGGGCACTTTCACCTGCTGTCACAGGCAGGCCAGGGCCCTGGCTGGGATAGACACTGCCACCACCCAGCCTGGGGATGGTAGGCCCGAGCCACACACAGCCCCTCCTCTTGCCCTCTTGGCAGCTCACATCCCTGGCCTATATGTAGTCCCTGAGCACATGAGCAATGCCAGATATGGATAAGGAACAAAGAATCTTGCTTTCAAACTGGACTTTCTTCCTGTGACAGTTTTCAGAGTTGTTGGGTTTTTTTTTAAAATAAATACATATTTTATTGTTGGATCTTTCTTCCTCCTCTGGGGCTGTGCCTGGCGCCACTCTGATACTCTGCCTCTTTATCACCAGCCAAGGAGAGAGGCTTTCCTGAGGTAGAGACAAGAGTTGCTAAGAGAAAGGCATGTCTAAGTCAGCCTGCAGTGGGGAACTTTCAAAGAGCTTGAGGCAGAAGGGCACAAGCTTCAGGACACAGGGTAGGTGGTGGTGGGTTCTCACGGGTGGGTCGTAGCTGCAGGGCCTCCTTGAAGTACTTGGGAAGCAGGAAGCCTTCAGCATTCCCTGGAGTCAGGATCACCCCGTTGGCAGAGCGGAAGAAGGAGATTCCATCTGCTCAGAGAGCTAGAGATGTGACTGGTGTCCCTCTCTGACAGATCTGGGGGAGTCCCTGGAGGGTCCATACTTACCTGCCAGAGCTAGGGGTCCATCGATGAACACCACCACGTCACAATTTGGACGCATGCCTGCAGGGACAACTAGACTAGGGCCAGGGGTACCTGGGCAGAATGGGGCTCTATGGTGGGATGGGGAGGTACTGCTCCACGCAAGTCTGTGTGGGGATCTCACACAAACGAAGCTGTGACCCTTGGTGGGGGACCTGGGAGGACAGAATAGGTCAAGGTGATACTGACCACTGATGACACCAGGGTCTCCAGGCAATCCTGAGGCCAAGTGGATGTGCGCCCTTCCTTGGCGTGACAAGCCCTTCAGTAGAATAGATGGCCAATGTTTCCAGAATGTACCATGGACTAGCATCAAAGGCAGGGCTTGTGGTGTCTCCAGGGGCGTCAGCTCCAGCTCAGGTACCTGGGAATAAGTGTGTGAATGGGCAGCAGTGAGACCGCCTTCCTGAACTGGGGTCCCCCACCTGGCTCTCCCTCCCACATGCCCCTTGGTACCCACTTGTAGGGAGTGGCCCTGATTGGCCCTGATGAGAGGACCAGTGCTGGGCTCGCCTGGCTGCAGGGCAAACCGCTGCTTTCCATTGTTTTCCACCACGTGCTGCACATCCTCAATGGTGAAGCTGTGGAACTGGGGCAGCTGCAGGAGAGCTTGCAGGGGTACAAAGCCATCTGCAGGCAGCCAGGCGGGGGTGTGCTCAGAAGCCAGACTATGCTTAACAGGGGAGCCACAGGCAGCTGGAACAAAGGCTAGGCCTGGGAGGTCACATGAGCTTTCTTTGTGTGATCTTCAGGAAGGTTTCTCTTTTGGGGCCTCATTTTGTTTTTTTTTTCTATGCTGGGGTGGAATGCAGAGCCTTGCACCTGCTAGGCAAGAACTCTGCTAAGGAAATACACTTCTATCCCAAGCCTCATTTTTCTTTTCTTTTTTGGTGTTTTGAGACAAGACAGCTTTGGAGCCTGTCCTGGAACTCGTTCTGTAGACCAAGCTGGTCTCAAACTCACAGAGATTCTCCTGGCTCTGCCTCCTGAGTGCTGGAACTAAAGGCGTGCGCCACCACTGCCCAGCAAGCCTCGTTTTTCTTAACTTACAGAGGAAGGTGACCAGCTTCATGGTGGGCTGGGCATACTGGTACATGCCTATAAGCCTGGCACTTGGGACGTACCAACGGAAGAATCAAAAGTTCAAGGTGTTTTGAGGCTAGCCTAGGTTACATGACACCTTGTCTCAATATGAAAGGGGGGTGGCTTTAGAGATGGTGTATCAGTCAAGAGCACTCACTGGCTGTTCTTCCTTCCAAAGGACCTGAGGTCTGATTCCCAACCATCTGAACTCATTCCCAGGTCCAATGCCCTCTTCTGCAAGCACCAGGTATACATGTGATACAGACATACACACACACACACACGTGCAGGCAAAACACTCATACACATAAAAAAAAATTAAAACAAAAACCAAAACAAAATAGCGTATCTGCTTCAGGCAGAGTAACATAGTAAGCACTAAGTAGTTGGTCCAGAGTGGACACCCAGTAAGCATCAGGTGTCTCAGTATGCCCCGTGCCATCCTTGGGAAGTGTTTATAGGACTGGCTGAAAGAGACATCATGAGGCCCAGCCTAGACAGGGGCTTCTCTTCCAGAGGACATGAAAGGGGTTCTGGGCCTTGATTTTCCTGTACATTCGGAGAGTGTGCCTATTCTCTGTTCCTACTGGGGCAGTGTTAAGAGTTGAGGAGACAGGGTTCCAGCTGCTCTCTGGGCTCCTACTTTTCCTGCTAGCTTCCACCATGCTCACTTACCAGCTTGCATGGGAAGTCCCAGCTTCAGAGCTCCATGGCGTAGGACATAGGACAGGGCCTTAGACAGCTGCACATCTCGGTCCTGAAAGAGTCCAGTGATGATGGCCTGTGTTTCAGTAGCTAGCCCTGAGCCCTGAGTCCTACTGCAAAGGTAGCCCAGAAGAGCTCCAGTGGTCTCTGGGACCATTGGTCCTGCAGTCTTCCCACCAAGAAACCAAGGCTCAGGTCTCCTCCCCTGTCCTGCCACTGTGGGGGTGAGGATGGAAAGGTGCACACCTGTTCCCGGGGTCTATGGGCCTGTCTACGTTCCTGCCTCCTTCCACCAGGGGCGTTCATGGCCAAGACCTGTAGGGATCAGGGACGTGTGGCCATTCTGCCCATAAAGTCACAAAGGCTCAGGATGGGAGAACCGCACTGCTCATCCCACCCGGGAACCTCTGGTCCACACAAGGAAATTTGAGGCCCAGCTGGCGAAACTTGCCCAGGGTCACACTGGCAGCCACGAGGCCCGAGGGATCCGGATCAGACCCCGCTTTCCGGAATCGGATCACGGATCTGCTGCTCGGATCTCGGGACTGGTGTGCGAAGAGACGCCAAGGTGAGCCAGGCCTGCGCGAATCAGAAGCTCTCCACCGCGGAAGGCAAATCGCAGACCCGGACAAGGACTGGCCAATGGGAAGACGCGAAGGGAAGGGGCGGGCACTTCCGCTTGAGGGGAAAGAGGTGGAGCTTGGGGGGCCAAGCCGACCGGTGAACTCCGAGATCCTGCGTGTCCAGGTTGGATGTAGGAGGACTCCTGGTTTGGGGGCTATGAGCATTGGCGCTCCTAGTGCTGCTGGGCGGTAGGGATGCCCAAAGATTTTACAGGTTTGAGACAGCAGGAGTCCAGGAGCTTGCTGGGCTCAGGACTCTTGGTGGGATGATACTCGCTGCCCAAGCAGTAAGTAGTCAGGGATCTGCAGAAGGGTCACGGTCAGGATTTCTGTGGAAGAGAGGGTCAGCTCGTTCCCTAGAGTGACAGGATGGCCATCTGTGTCTTCCTCCAGGACTTCCCTGTCACACCATGGACCCTGAGGTGTCCCTCTTGCTGCTGTGCCCTCTTGGGGGACTGTCCCAGGAGCAGGTAGCAGTAGAGCTGAGCCCAGCTCATGACCGTCGTCCACTGCCTGGAGGAGACAAGACCATTACTGCCATCTGGGAGACCCGGCTACAGACCCAACCCTGGATCTTTGATGCTCCCAAGTTCCGCCTTCACTCAGCCACACTGGCATCCAGCCCACCTGGGCCACAGCTGCTCCTGCACCTGGGTCTGACTTCCTACCGGGACTTCCTGGGCACCAACTGGTCCAGCTCGGCCTCCTGGCTGCGACAGCAGGGAGCTACAGATTGGGGTGACAAGCAAGCCTATCTGGCAGACCCACTGGGGGTGGGTGCCACGTTGGTCACAGCTGATGACTTCCTTGTCTTCCTGCGCCGCTCTCAGCAGGTGGCCGAGGCACCTGGGCTGGTGGACGTGCCCGGTGGGCACCCTGAACCTCAGGTAAAACGACTGGCTGGGTACAAGGGCACGAAGTCCCAGCGCCTGGTTCTGTTTCATTGCCTCTTAAAGGGAAAAGTGGCCTGGTGTTTCCGAGGCTGCAGCCTCCTCCCATGCTGCGGCCCTGCTAGAGGACTGTCCAGGAGAAAGTATGGGCTCAGCTGAGCACAGCCCGTGACTCTCACCACTCCGGAGAGGAAGGTGCTCCCTGCCATTTGGGAGACCCAGCTGTAGATCTAAGCCGAAACCCACCTATGGAAGCTAGGGATCATGGGAGGAGAGACTGAAGGGGGGGAGATGTTTTTTCTCACCTTATGTAATCCTTCCTAGCTAGACTTCTGATTGTTTATTTGGAATAGGAGGGCCTGGGTTAGGGGATTGCCAAGACTCCCACACTGAGTCTGCCCTAGGCACCCATGGCCAACAAGAGGAAAAGCAGTGTGGGAATCGGTGTAGATGAAGGCTGAGCCTAAATTTTTCACAGGCCCTGTGCTCTGGTGGCAACCCCCAACACAAGGACCTCCCTGGGGAACTGGTGGTCCAGGAACTCTTCTCCAGTGTCCTACAGGAGATATGTGATGAGGTGAGTGACAGGGGCCCCAGACATATGATGGGCATGAGTGAGGGGTAGAATTTGCTAGAAATCCACAGGCCTGGGCAGCAGTGAGGGTCTGCATGAGCCTAGCTGGCATTGAGAAAGAGCATGGCATTAATGCTGGAGCCATGATTCCTTGGTCCTCACATTCTTTCCTACAGTGGAAACAATAAAAATGTCTAGTCTGTTCCAATACTTGCTGAAAAATAGTGTCTTGGTTACTAAATCAACTTCACTTGGGTAAAAGAACTTCCCTGGACAATTTGTTCCATTTCTCATCTGTAGAATGAGCATACCCAGAGCCTGTATTTTGTGTAATGGGCACTTGGCTAGCAAAACAAACAATGCTGAGGGTCACAGGCCATTGAGGGTTGAGGATGTAGCTCAGTTTAGCTGGTAGATTGTTTGCCTAGCACAGTGGTTCTCAATCTCCCAGTGCTGCAACCCTTAACACATGTGGTTCCACATGTGGTGGTGACCTCCAACCATACAATTATTTTCGTTGTTACTTCATAATTGTAATTTTACTAGTTTTTACAATTTTCACATGTTTGCTGTTATGAACCATAATGTAAATATCTGTGTTTTCCAATGGTCTTAAGTGACCTCTGTGAAAAGGTTGACCTCCTAAGGGGTCACGACCCACAGGTTGAGAAACATTGGCCTAGCATCTCCAAGGCCTGGGCCTTGATCTTCAGTACCATATAAAACAGGTACAGTGGTGCATACCTGTAATCCCAGCACTCAGGAGGTGAAGGCAGAGGATCAGAAATTCAGGGCCATCTTTGCTAAATATTGAGTCTAAGGCTAGCCTGAGCTACATGAGGCCCTGTCTCAACAAAAGTAAACATATAAAACACCAAACCAACCAACAACCAACAACAACAAAAACCCAGGCCACTGAGAAGTCAGCCTGACAGGTGGGACTCCCTGCCACAGGTGAACCTGCCACTGCACACCCTGAGCCGGCCACTGTTACTGGGCATCGCTTGCAATGAGACCAGCGCGGGCAGAGCCAGTGCAGAGTTCTATGTCCAGTGAGTGGGCTCTGGGGTGCAGGACCCTGGGTGAGGCGGGTGGGGATGGAGTGGGTTTGAGGCAACTGGAGTTCTGCAGGGTTCCTGTAAGGTCTGGACACCCACCAAGCCGTCCTCATGTTCTTGTCCAGATGCAGCCTAACTTCAGAGGAGGTCAGGAGTTACTACATGAATGGGGGACCTGAGGCCCACGAGTCTACAGGAATCATCTTTGTGGAGACACAGGTGTGCAGTTGAGGCTTTCAAGGTGGTCTGGTGATGGGGGAAAAGGATACCTGGGTGAGGCAGAGAACTCCCTGGTCTCCTAGTTTCCAGAGGCACAAAGCTTGGCTCCTACCTAAGGGACAGGAGTACTGAGGTTCAGCAACGCTGGACACAGTCCCAGTAGAAAGAGGGGCCTGATGTCTGGGTCTCACTGATTTCTCGCAGAGGGTCCAGAGACTGCAGGAGACGGAGATGTGGGCACAACTCTGCCCTTCAGCCAAAGGGGCCATCCTCCTCTACAATCGCCATCCAACTCTACAGTCGGGTGCTGGGAAGTCCCACCTAAGTAATCCTAGCGTCCCAGCCCTATCACTACAGCTCTGAAGACAATAAAGGACTTTTATTCTTGGGTTCCGTTGGCTTCTGCTGCTTCTCTGAAATCTGGGATCCTCGGGGAGAACCTGGGGTGGGTGAGAAGGGCTGACCACGTGGCAGAAAGGAAACAAAACAAAGGGCCCCATAGCGCAGCCTCCGTGTGGCCCTCTCGTTTGGTGAATGTGAACCGCGCCTCACCGCTGAGCGGGACGGGGCGGGAGGCCTTCCTCGAGGCCAGGCCCGGAACGGGACCGGTAGACAGCGGTCCTTGGAGGAACCCCAGCGCTTCCGCTTCGCGGACTCCGGCGCCCTAGACCAATGAGCGCACGGGGGCGGGTCCTTTGCTGCACGTCCTCAGCTTCCTGCCCAATTGTGATTGGCCTGAGCCTTACGCCAATGAGAGCTCGGGGGCGGGGCCTGCACAGGGGCAGGAAATGGCGGCAACTGCGGAGCCTGTGAGTAGGGGACAGAGGCGGGGCTTGGCTGTGGCTCCTCCTTCGCACGCCCCCCTAACGCTGCAGGTGGGGAGGGGTGTCCCCGGTCCTGAGCTGGTGGTGGTCCAGACTTGGAGGCCAGTGCTGGAAGAAGGGTCAGGGCCCCAGCATCTGATTCTTAGTAAAGAGGCCTTTCCCAATCTGCTTAAGTCTGCCTTTGTGGGAAACTGAGGCAGGCTCCTTCCCTCTGCCCCGATACCCGAAGTCCGGCCCAGTTGGGACCCAATGCACCCCTCTTGGGGACCTCCCCTTCCCAGCTGCCCGCCCGCCGTCATCATGCCGTCCCTGGTGCTCCTGCTGCCCCTGCGCCCATTCCGGCTGTGGCCCCGCAGCCCTTCCACCCGACTTCTCACAGCCGCCGCAGGGCAGCGGTGAGTTGAGCTCCAGATCTTGGCGGTGTTGTTCTGAGATAGTTGTCTCTGTATGATATGTCAAGTGCCTTTAGAGGTTTGTCCCAGATAACCCTCACCTTCAGTGCTGGACACTAAGCATCAAGAGTTAAGAGCAGAGCCCCGGGATTAGATAAGTGACAGATTGGGAATGGGAGCCCAGGTCAAACCCAGTGCTCTTTCCGTAGTTCTGGTATGTTGCCTCGCTTCACTGTGCATACTCTGGGAAAGGGGAGGTTGGGTACAAAGATTTAGATTTCTGGGCTGGAATCTGGAGACGCCCAATCAGGAGGAATAAAGTGGGGGGTGGGAATCTGCCTTTTCCTTTTCCTTTGAGATGGAGTTTTCCTGTGTTGCCCAGGCAAGGCTCCAAACTCAATCTCCAGAGTTTGGAGTTCAGGCACAGCCATCATACCTGACCTGGAAATCTTTTTTCCCCCTCAGTACTGGCACTGGAACACAGAACCTCATGCATGAGAGACGAGGAAATCTTTTTTTTTTTTTTTTTTTTGATACAGGGTCTCATGTAGTCTAGGCTAGCCTCAAACTTACTAATAGCCAAGGCATTTAGCCAATGAATCTCGGACTTTGCCTCCACCTCTCAAGTGCTGGGATTACAAGTGGACACCACCTTACATCAAATCTGCTATTTTAAATAAGTTTTCAGGAGCTGGAGAGATGGCTCAGAGAGAGAGAGCACTTGCCACTCTCACAGAGGACCCAGTGGTTTCTTTTTTGTTTTTCAGATTTATTTACTTATTATGTACAGTGTATTCTGCCTGCGTGTATGCCTGCATGCCAGAAGAGGGCACCAAATCTCATTATAGGTGGTTGTGAGCCACCATGTGGTTGCTGGGAATTGAACTCAGGACCTCTGGAAGAGAGGCCAGTGCTCTTAACCTCTGAGCCATCTCTCCAGCCCAAGGACCCAGTTTTGATTCCCAGCATCAACATGACGACTCACAACCACACTCTTCTGACCTGTTGGGGGCACCAGGCATTCA